CAAGGAAAAAATAAAAAGAGAAAAAAACCCACATAAAAAAAAGTCTACGTGTTGACTCTGCTGTGGAGAAAGTCAGCGTAGCTGAAAATCTCTGCATGAATTAAGGAGAGATTGGACACTTGTTTGGTCGCCACCATAAGCTAATTGGCAAGACGGAATAACTTTACTGGCCCTTGGGGAGCAGACGTAGGTTTGGAGAACCAAGTATTCATGTTTTGATTCGGCTTACTCTAAATTTTTTATTCAGTACGTTTTGGGAACCTAATAGTCCTCCATGGTAGGTACATGAGAAATCATCCCGTGAATTTGAAAACCTGAAAATCTGAAAATTTCTATTGAGAAGCATTGCATTTGTTTAGTAATGCTGTTTAGTAATGCATTGAGGACGTGGAAATCTATTAGGAATTGGATCTCCTAGAAGTGAGAGAGAGACAACAAAGACGGAAAAAACAATCACAAAAGACGAGGGTTTTTACATGATTCGGTAATTTGCCTATATCCACAGCCACACTAGGTTTCTTTCTTTCTGAGAAAGTTACAATTACGAGCGAGAGCATCCATATATATATATAGATAGATAGAAACTAGGCCTACAAGCTACGTGTAGAATTATAGTTTTAACCTTCTATATTGTCAGCAGCAGCCCATGTGAAGCAATTATTTTTGACTTTGGATAAAGGAGCGGGCCCCACTTTATTATTATAATATAAATGTATAGTGAAATATTAATATTTTATTGTGCATAGTGTTTTTCAAAACACTATAAATAAGCTCCAAATCCTTAAGAAAAATTCATCCCAGAAACAACTTTTATAGAAGAGTGAGAGAGAAAAAATAGAGAAAGAGTATCTCCTTGTAAAGAGAGATTGTAAGTTGTAACTCCAGAGTTTTCTTCTCATAGTGGATTCTTCTATCCTTGCCCGTGGACGTAGGCAATCAAGTGCCGAACCACGTAAATCTGTGTGTCCAACTTTTTATCTCTACTTTTGCTCTACTATTGCTACGATTCTGCTCTATTAGGCCCCGGGTTTATCCCAACATATATAACATATAAATTTTCGGGGTTAGACTTGCACAGTCTATCGGACACCACAACTCCAAGGAAAACTTAACTGTCAGACACATACATGTTGGACCCTAGAGAGGGGGTGATTAGGGTCAAGAGGCTCTAATATGCAATAAAATCAGCACAAGCAAACCACAAAACAAAAATGCGATAAAAGTAAGAGAGATAAGGTTAGGAGTTCGTTATCCTTGACGCGCGATGTGTTAACGAGATTCGGCCCTTTGGCCTACGTCCCCGCTCCCCACTCTCGAGGAGAAATCCACTACACACCCGGTTGGGAAGCCGGAACTTCGTCTACACAGCGATCTCCACAGATCTCTCTCACTACACAGTTTGATCTCACAGATCACACTCCCTCACAGTAGATCTCCACAGATCTCACTCACACAGCAGAAGAAAGAAATACAAGAACCTCTCTTTACATAGCCCTTATAGCAAAGAGAAGGTATACTGAAGCTGGGAGGTGAATCACACTTGAAACAGAGAGAAAAACAGAGTTTTGAAAATTTACTCAGGAAACAGAAAAAAAAAGCTCTCTGATTTTTCAAACGTTAGGGCTTAGGAAGAAGAAGAGGTCTGAGGGGGTTTATATAGAAAAGTTTAAATCATTTTAAAACAAAAACAAATCTTCCCAAATGAGATAATAATCTCTTCTTCAGACCCTCATCACAGACTGTGCCAAACACTAGAAGTGAAAGCACAGTAAACGATGTAAATGACCGTTTAAAAAAGTCGCGACTGACCAGAGGCAAAAATCGGTTGACCGAAGGAAATTTCGGTCGACCGAAAAATGCCTTCGGTCGACTGTTTTCTGAAATCTGATTTTTGACCAACTTGAAATATTTGCAAAATATTTATTTGACCTCTGAAAATTCTGAAACTTTGTAAAATGTTTTTAATACTAAAAACAAACTGCTTGGAAAAAGAATTTTGCAAATAGGTACTCATACTTGTGAAAAATAGTATTTTGTGAAAAAACGCTTAAAAGCACAAGTCTAAAAACGTGTGTGTGATTCCCAATAGCTTCAAGTAAACTCAGTAACTCTTTGCCTACATTCTAGCACTAGAGAGAAAAACAAAAGAAAGCTAATATCCTCATATAGAGAGCAATATACTTGAGCTTTGATATAGCTTGAATCGGATGAAGCTTTTGATCGAATTTGTCGTTCTTGAAATAACGTTGCTTCATCTCTTGGCCTCCTCCTCCTTTGGATATCTTCGTTGTAGCATATATTCCATCCATCCTCCATTTATGGCACTAACGAGCTTGACAAATGAGTTTACTACATTTACACTCAATAAGCCATTAGTACCGATAATGGTGGTTGTAAGAACATCATCAAAACATAAGGGCTAACAATACCTTCTCGTCACCTTTGTAGAAATAGCGAACTCAATAGAATGTATATATAATGTGCCGGATTACAAATCTAGAGAGGCCATAACTACTGATTGAACCCTTCACATGTAGCTCTCTAGATCATCCTCTAGCCCACATTTGCTACACAAATGCAAATCATGATATTCATTCTCCTCTGGATGGTAATATACAAATAAGAATGTGCTGGAAATATGAATAAATGGATATTTAGTTCCTGCAACGCTTATGAAGCTGCTTGTTATTTGATTGATTATATCCCTTTATCGCATGGGGAGTTCTGATAGGATTGTGTTGTTAATTTCCGTGCTCAAAAGTTTCAAGGCACAAGCACATAAGCTGCTGCCAAGTTTTGTCTCTCGTTTTAATGCGTCTTTTCATTTTTGGTAAAGTTTGGACGCTCCCTAGCTTTTTGTTACTTACTGCTGTAATATTTACATGATTACTCTTCTTAATTGGTATCGTCTACTCCAAGTATTCAGCCACTTCATACATAACCACTTTAGTGGAGCATTATTAACAACGCAGGCAGTAAAAGACTGCACTGATCCTTAAAGCTAAGGTTGATGCTTTCAATTAGAAGTTTGATATGTATCTGAACTATCTTCATCACATGCTAAATCACCTACTGGTATTTGATTTGAATGGATACATTTCATCGAGTTTCATAAGTAGGTCGCCTATTAATATCAAACTATATAACTGAATGTTTAAATTACATGTTTACTTTTATTTGTTCATATTGTATCTTGTATGTAAAGTACCGTTTTTTTAAGAAAATTAAGAGTTCCATAACTAGGTAGTAAATGGAGTTATTGGGTGTTGTAACTACAATTAATATGGGAGTTTTCAAAAGCCATAGAAGCTATAAATAAAAAAATATAAAATCCCCAAAATCTTTAGTTTACGAAAAAAACAAAAAGGAAGTGAGATCGGGGAAGGGGAAAAAGGAGAAAGATCAGAGCTTCTAACATGTTAGTTTTTTTATGGTTTATTTTGCATACATATTTAAAAAAAACTCACACCTTTTTCCGGCCACCGGTGCCATCGCCGGAGTCATCCGTGGAACTCCGGCCATCCACGGTCGTTGGTTTCACCGGTGATGACTCCTATGGCCGCCGAACCCAAGAAAACCCATTAGGTTCATAAGCAGTTAAATGGTAGAGGCAAGAATAGGGCTGAGCATGGTTCGGTCCAAATCGAAAAAACCGACCCGAACCGACCCGAAACAATCGGTTTTATGAGTAGGGCGATTCGTGTCGGTTTGAAAACTTTTCAACCCGAACCGATCGAATATAGTGCAATACTACTCATTCTGATCTCAAACCCTACCCGACCCGTCCCCAAAGAGTCAAAGACTCAAACTCTAAACTTTTTTTCTGGATCATTATGGGTTAAAAACAATATTATTATATTAGTGTTTAATGCTTCATAATCTCCTACTTTGTTGATATTTTTTTTAACACAGTTTGTTTGATAATAACTTTGATGAAGTTAGAACCGAACAAACCGAACCGAACCACACCGAACCGACTTGCAACAGTTCGGTGCGGTTTTGAATTATAGGCGGTTTGGTTCGGTTGTTCAAATTTTGGTAAAAACCAAACCGAACCGACCGTTGCACACCCCTAGGCAAGAAGAAGAGGAAAGGAAAATTATCCAATGCCCCTTAGAGTTTTGAGAATTTATTTTAAGTCCAAAACATATGAAAGATATTTTCTACATGAAATCTATTTAATAGAAAAAGTTTCCTTTTGACCAACTAAACTAGAAAAGTTATTGTTAGGCCCAAGTTCTGTTTAAAGAAGGATAGAATTAAACTTTAGAAAAAACCCCTAGAAACTAGAAATATTAGTTTATACCCAAAATAGTTTGAGTATGGAATCTTTAGTTTTTATGCATCTTGTATGATTATAGGTTTGATTGAGGAGTAGGTTCTTAGAATACGGTTCTCGAAATTGTTACAAGATCTTTTAAAGTGATTAGAATTATTCTTATTAGTTATTTTCTATTATATAATATGTAAATGATAATTTTATTTTTGTATAGAGAAATGATGGATCAGACATGTTATTATGTTCATTTATAGTAATTGTTAACAAATATGGATGTGATAGCTATTTATCTTTTACAAGATAAATATTGTTTAGTATATGAGATTATTAAAAATATATCATTTCAAATTTACTGTTAAAATCCATGTTTTAAAGAGTTCTATTTGACAAAAATAAATTATCTATTCGTTTAGATTCATAAATATTCTATTTTCATGAGATTGATATGAGAAAAGTTGCAAATGTGTTTAAGAATTTATAATATTTTTCGTATAAGGGCCCGTTTGGATAATAGAAGTATTGAAAGTAAGAATTAGGTTATAAAAGTAACTTTCAAAACTATGAAGTAGGAAGTAGTGGAAATAACATTTTTTTTGTTTGCTTCATATATTTTTAGATGAATGGAAGTAGAACTTCTTCCTCTTCATTTACTATTTTTTTGATAACATTTAGAAATATTACTATGAAGTAATTAACACATGTTGCTTCCACAATTTCAAAGTCATGCCATGATCTTTAATTTGATCTAGCACGTTACAATCAGTTTCATGCCGTTATGACCCCTCGCCACTTGAGAGCAAGAAGAATCCTTCAACCACATTACTTCAAAATAATTGTTTACTTCTCGCCTACGATGAGACTCTGGATGACTATAAATTCCTATGAATTTCCAATTTCCCTCCTCCCTCGCTCCTTTGATCATAACATCAACGTGATATTTAGATAAAGAATTAATAGACAAGCTGTTCTCTTCACCCTAAAGAAAAGGTGGCCGACGACCGTCACAAATTACTATAAAATAATTGTTAAAATTAAGAGCAATTTCATCAATAAAAAGTTGTTAGAAGTAACTAATAAAGGAAATATTAATAAAAAATTTTATTTATTTCCTAATTAATATGCATTTCAACTACTTCCGAGCTACTTTTGAGTATTGAGAATTGAAAAAATATTTTAAAAGTAAGGATGACACGTAGGCGCCACATAAGCATTTAAGGAAGTATTGGAAGTAAGTTTTTCATAGAACCAAACACACTTTTTTGTTTGGAAGTAGCAGAAGTAGTCTCTACTTCTTTTATTTCAGCTACTTCATAATTATTTCCATGCAAACAAACGGGCCCTAAGTAAAAATTGTGAGCGATACTTTGAGCAAAAAGAAAAGTGTTTTAAATGTTAAAAATCCTCAGAAGTGTACTATGGAGTGAAGTGATTTGTTTAAACCTATATTATGGTATTGAATGTACCGACCAGTGTTAAAGTAGCTTTTTTGGCAAAAGTGAAGTGGCCTTCGGGCAACCTATGGTAGTGCTAGGTACATTCTGTCCCCGGGTTGACTTACAGTGATTTGATGTGCATTCCCATGCTACTGGGCTATAATTTTCGTACCCTTAGTTTGACAACTGAGGAAGTTTTGCAATTGTGAATTTAGATCGATAATTATAGTTTTAAAAGTATTTAATGTTCATTCGTATTATTTCTTAAATTTGCGAATATTCTTTTATGACAATGTCACATGCTATTCTTGGAAATTCCTCTTATTCCAAATATTATTCATTTCTCGATCGTTCTTTTTTACGATAGCTTAGTTAAATTTTAGTATGGATAAATTCTTAAACTTGACTGATTCGCTAATGATAAGTTTTCTGCTCACCGAGTGTAAACTCACCCCGTTATTTTTCAATCTTTTTCAGATGAAAATTAGATAGCTTTATCAAAACCTTGGAGCTTTGGAACATGAGATGAATCTTTTAGAGTGTTTGATGTTGGAATTATAGTTATACTAGTCATGCTACAATGCTTATGTAATAAGAGAATCTTTTAGAGTGTTTGATGTTGGAATTATAGTTATACTAGTCATGCTACAATGCTTATGTAATAAGAGTCTTTTGACTCATTAGAGTTGTTGGAATTATAGTTATACTAGTCATGCTACAATGCTTATGTAATAAGAGTCTTTTGACTCATTAGAGTAACTTGTTATAATGTAGTTTTGCTCTGAGACTTCTTTATTTGTCAATAAAGTTTCTTTTAAAACGAAGTTTATTGTAATATGGGAGTGCACCGCAGGCTTAGCATGTGCTCGTGTTGTTGTTGTCATGCATCTCAAAATTAACTGCGCATTTTGGGGGCGTGACATTGTAGCTACAAGAACCCACCAATGGAGAGATGCAGATTATACAAATGAAGTGATTATCTTCAATAAACTCAAATCAGCAGTGGCTAGACTCATCAATAATGACCTATAACTACATCTCCATCTTTGGTCGTTTCAGCCTCGGAGATCACACATTTCAAAATTTTCAGAGGGGTGATATTTTACAATCAGCTTAATTTCCATCATTCCAATAGACATTATTCAGCTTCGATAGAACTTCGGGTGATTTGTTCAGGATGCTCAGTTTGTGACTGGAGGAGATGTTTGTTTGCTGCTTTCGATTCTATTCTATTAGTTTTGACAGGTACATTTTGTGAATGCTCTAGTATTTGTGTGTATGTTTATTTAAGTATGTTTATGAACTATCAACTATTACAAAATAAAGCATCTTATTGAGCTTGTGGATCACCAACGTGCCTCAAACTTAAAAATAAATAATTTTCTTTTCAAGAGCTCCTTGTCTTTGTCGCATCTGCTTGATTTTATAATGTCACATTGATGCGGAGACAATAATTGATGTTTTTTTGAAGAAATTCGATCATGTGAAAGCGGGACAATTGAAGCAAGATATGTAATTTCAGATAGATTTCGAAATGCAACTTTGGAGGACAATATCTCTTGACTCGCTGCATAGAATTCTTATTATAATATAATTTTGGAAAGCTCGGGAAGTTCTCTACACATAAATTTGATTATAAGATCCAAATAAGCTTTAGGTTCAAAGATATTCGTCTTCAGGCTCAGCTGCACAGAAAAATTCTGGTTTCTACTTATTTTAGGAAAGTCTCTTTATTTTAGTAGTCTTTTTATTTTAGGAAGTCTTTTGGTTTCATACCATATATAATGGGGATGTATTTTAGGAAGTCTTTTTATTTTAGTAGCCTATTTTAGGAAGTCTAATGTCTTAGGAATGTCTTTTTATTTTAGGAAGTCTAATTATCTTAGGAAATGTTATTTTAGCACTTTTGCTTTGTTTTACACCGTGTATAAGGGGGATGACGTCTATATTATTTTTTAGATTGATTATTATTAATTTCTCAAGTTTTATATTCCTAGGATTTGTAGGGTTTGTGTTGTTTTGCTTGTACAAGAACGAGTAGTTATTTCTTTGATTACGTTTCTGCTACATCACACATGCTTATAGAGAAATCAAATGCATTTGGTTATAAGAGTTGTTATTAGTGTAAATTGCACTAAATCCCCAAGAACTTTCATTGTTTTACAGTAAATCCACTAGAACATTCAAAACCACACTTAACCCTAACACCTCGTTTGGTACGTGGGAACGAGTGAGAATGGAATGCAATTCCAACTCTTTATTCATGCGTACCAAACACGATATATTTTTAGACTTTAGAATTATTATTCTCACTTCTTATCAATTCCCACTTTATGTGAGAATTTTTATTCCTAACCATTTGACAAAGAATTGATATTCCCATTTAAGTGAGAATAAAAAAACAAATAATTTTATATTATACCCTCCTTAAAAAATACAAATATATATAAATTCCCATATGAAAAATTATTTCTATAGAAATAATATCATTAGCTGCTCATACAAATATATAAATAGATTTTAAATATTAAAATAATATTCTTTGTTCGACTTTACTCTAGCTCCATCGCGTCTGTAGTAGAAAAAAAAATCTCATCTTCGCCTCAATACGACTTAGTTAGGTAATCATTATTTCTTTTTAAAATATGCATGTGTGGCTAATCTTTACCTAATCTTTACAATAATTTTTAATCTTTTTGCGACTCTGTTGCGTAATCTATTAGCAATTAGGTTAGTAAATATTTGATCGTTGAATGTATGATTTGAAGTTCCATTGAAGCATATGTGCCTTATCTTTTCAGTAATTTTTTCAAAGCACTCACAACAAGAAATAATGTACTTAATTGATGAGATTAGAACTTTATATTTTGATTAGAGATTAACATATTTCTATTCCTTCAAACTTTCTAGGTTAACATATTTTCTACTCCTAATCAATTGTTTGAAAGTTAAAGGTGCATTTGAAATTTTATATACAAACTAAAAGTTAACATGTTTTTCTAATCCTTCAAATTTTAGTGTTTTCTTCCATTCAGTCTATTGTATACGTTTGTGCATAGTGATGCTAGTAGCATTAGCTGCTCGTACACGTAGTAGACATATAGATTAGAAGTTAGAAATGTGGAATTATAATTATTTATAATCAAAAATAGTTTCTATGAAAATTATTTTTTAATTAGTAAACCAAAAGTTCAAAATTGTTGTTGAGGCGGTGTACCAAAATATAACTATCAACTGGAAAAATATTTCTATAAGAAAAAATATCATTTCTATAAAACCTATTTTTTAAAAATGAATTATTTAGTCATTTTTAAAATATTTTTATGCTTTTAAAATTTTGTGTTTTTGTAAGGGCATTATTAGAAAACTCAATTTTATTCTCACTTGTGAATAAATGACACTAAACATGTGAATGAGAATAAGATTGTCATTCTCATTTCATTATCTAAACGCGCTCAAACATGAGAATATGAATGCATATTACATTCCCACATCTATTTCATTCCATTCCTACCTTCTTTCCATTCTCACTTGACTCCAATCCTGCGTACCAAACGAGGCGTAAGATCTTTTAGCGTTTTGTAGTAAACCTCCTATAACTCTCAAAATCACAGTAGACCTCCAATAACTTTTAGAATTGCAGAAAATCCTTAATAAGTTTTCGTATTTTGTTGATAACCTTCAAAAGTTAAAAATAAAACATAAGAAGTCATTTTGTGATATGAGTCGCTGTGCGAGCATATTTAATCGCGAAATTATCAAAGGTGGGTTGAGAAGAGCATGACAGAAAACACAAGAACAATTCAGCATGTGGCGAAGGAAAATACCCTCTCTAGATTATGAGTATGAAAAGATTACAATCCCTCTCTCACAATCTCACTAGAATCTAGAACAAGCTCTTAATTCTCTCTAAACCCTAATCTCTCTTGATTAGAATCTCACTTTGATTACATCTGATTGTTTTAAAACCCTAAAACAATCCCTTATATATGTAGAACAACGTGGATGACAAAGTCGTAAATAACCAAGCCCAATCCCCAAAGAAATTCGAGCAGACAGAAACCCAAACGAACCAGGAAACCATCGATGAGTCGACTCACGTGTTTGTATGAGTCGACTTATGTCATATGGGTCGACTCATGACAGTCATGAGTTGACTGGTCAGAAACTATGTCAACACCTGCTGGGCTTCGTGAGTCGACTCATGATAGTCATGAGTCGACTCATGACACATGGGTCGACTCATACAGTGATGAGTCAACTGGTCAGAGACTTTTGCTAAAACGGCTGAGTTTCATGAGTCGACTTATGTCAGGCATAAGTTGACTGAACCTGATGAGTCGACTCGTGACTGTTATGAGTCGACTCACGGGCTGAAAACTGATGCTTCGATTCTCTGATTCACCGTCTTGGTCCACGCTTTAACCTGCGTTCCACTGTGCTGTTTTACACCTCTATTCTCAAGTTATTATGAGAATCATCTATCCTCAAGCTCCCATGAGGATCGAGTTCCGAAGAGAAGATACACCCGTATCATGGGTCCCTCCCTTTAGGAACTTGAAGTCCCGTTCAAGTTAGAACTTCAGCTGAGGAAACTCGCGAGCTCCTCCATCCTTTTTGTACCACCTGGCTTTGCTAGGAACCTGATATCGACGTACAACTGGAAACGACTCCTTCGCTCCTTGCCCTTTCATAGTCGTCTTCTGCTCCAACATGCAATCCTCTTTCGATAGCTTTTCTGGAAGTCTAATGCACAGCGAGACAAACTTCTTGCTTGCATTCACTAGCCTCTTCTTCGCTCGCGCCGCCGTCCCCAAGCTTGTCTCCCTAGGAAGAGACGTCGAATGAAATATGAACTTTTTACCGCCTTTGGTGAATGTATACTTCTGAACCCGCCTCTCGTAGATCACATATCTATCTCATAAGTACGGATTGCCCAGTATAATCTGACAAACATCCAATAGAACTACATCGCACGCGACCTCGTTAATATATGACTCATGGAGCACAAATCTGATAGTGCATTGATCAACTACACTCAGTCTCTCCTCCTTCTGAATCCACCTTAATGGATAGGGCTTCGGATGTTTGACCGTCTTCAGACCCAGCTTCTGAACCAAGGCATCGGATATCAAATTCTTCTCGCTGTCTGGATCAACTATGACATCAACCAAACTGGTCTTCACTTGCAACTTAAGCACAAAGAGTTGCTCTCTCGGGTCTTTGTCCTCTTTCGTGGCCTGTTTTCCCGCCATAAGTTTGAGACTGTTGTTGGGCTCTGTCATCCCAGGAACTTCCTTCGGACCCTGTGCTATCACGTATGCCTTTTTCTCCTCTTTCCTATTCAACCCTCTTGGCTTCAGATGAGGATACTTCTCCCAGCATCGATCAACTACGTGTCCTGTCTTCTCGCAATGACCACAAATCAGCCCTGCTTTCCCTGGATCACCCTTTTTCCTCTCCTCCTTAGATTAAGGACCACTAGACTCGCCTCCAACATGCTTTGCATCTCCATTTTCTTCGTTGCTCTTCTTTTACTTGCCTTTGATGGTAATAGCCTTCAAGCTCGCCTCTGCAAATAGATTCCACCGTGAATAACTTCATTTCCTTTCAGATGTAATCGTTCAATCCCGTCATATACTTTATAAACACAGAATATTCCTCTGTCGTAATGTTGAGGACCATCGCCTGCTACTGGAACTTCGTGGTGTATTCTTGAACGGTTTGATTGACCCTTTGGCGTAAGCCGTACCACTTGTACCAACGCTCCTCAAGGAACCCTACTGGATAGAACTGCTTCCTTAATAGCTCTTTGAACTTATTCCACGATACCACCTTCTTCTCCTGCTTGTAATAGGATTTCCACCACGTCAACGCGTGCCCCGAAAGCTTCAAAGTCACAAACACAATCTTCTCCTTGGATGAATATCCATAAAGGGTGAAATACATCTCCATATGCTCGACCTAATTGTTTGCGTCAAAAGTTGCTCTTGCTGTGGAATTCATTATATCTTCGATTGATTACAATAAATTCAAAGAAATAGTCTTTTTATAAGACCTCTTTTACACAACAAAATGAAAATTACAACTTCTTAGAAACAAACGCAGGATCGTTGTTTGGATCCCTGCTTGCGTGGGATCTTTGCCTGTGCCGGGATCGCTTTGACTCGTGGACCACCAAATCACAGATTCTGATTGAATCGATGAGGGGTTTAATGATTCTTCCTTCGTTTATCGAAGTGAGAATTTGAAACGATATCTTATCAAAGTAAGATAGTCGTTCTTCTTAAGATCAAGTCAAAGCTCGAATCTCAAGGGATTGCCAGAAGCTCAGGAATTC